AAGCTGTAAGCAGCCGCACACCATACAAAAAGTCGTGACTTTTATTTCTGAGTCCACAGTGGTAAGTGATGAGGTGATTTCCGAATGGTTGGACCGAGTCAATCTTGAAGAAGTGACTTTCGGCTGAAAGACCTAGTTGAAGAAATTCACCTGTCCGATCTGCAATGTATGGGGCTTTATCCACCGATCTTATTTCGACGATTAAGTCAGTTCGGATATTCAATCGCAAACTAAAAGTGGTTTAAGAACCTCAAGTGTGTGTGTTTGTGAGTCCATACCTTTTCTACGGATGTGAAGGTATTTATAGCGGACAGAACGGTGGGAAGAATGATGAATTTTAATTTCCTTAGATCTATGACTGACAGGGATAGTGTTAGGCTTAATAGATAGGGCATATCAATAATCATGTCATCCTGTCACGTTACTGTCATGTCATTCCATCATATAGAAGTTAGCTTTTCCAGTGTGATGTCAGGTGCTAGAGAGTGGGACGGTTCGGCTACCATTGGAAGACTGAGGCCAGTCCCATGGGAGAGGCAACGAGCCGAGGTGACATAGGCCCCGAGAGGGTTATCTTGACCAATCACTGAACCGAGAAGGGCCGAAATGACGGCCCTCAGTAAGTATTATCTAATACAGGAAATTGGCATTGATATAGTTGCATATGGTCCTGATACGAATCTCGTTGGTGAGGAGATTCGCGACCCAAGATCGCTTGTTGGATTTGACGTCAGATGCAAGAGACGGTGGCAGCGGAAACCCTACGACCCCTCTAATCCCCGTGACTACGAACAAAATCTACTCAAGTTCGGTGTTGGTTTCCAGGATTTGCAAGAATCGACACAAGGGTTCAAGGCTCATAAGCAACACAGGTTTGGTAATGCAAGAACGAAAATTCCAGCAAACGCGACTCAAGGACAACGGTATGCGACACTCTTTTTTTTTTTTTGACCCTTTTGCTGGGTTGTTTGCACACGACTCAAACAACACAAGACCCCACACGCATTAAACCAGAAGCTGGACAGAAACTAGAGCCAACTAGTGACCGAAATTGCTGGACAGGTTTGCACATGACACAACGCCACAAAGGAAGACCCTAGTGGCGGCTATAATGTATGTATATATATATATTTTGACTCAGATTGGACTCAAATAAGATAGCAAGCTGCTGAACAATTATCACGCACAAACAATGAGGAGACAATTCGAACAGATTTATCAATGTAAGTGCGGCAAGACAGAAATTCCTAATGACTCAATATTTTATGTGCACTTGGGACACGACTATCAACACTGGTTGATTCTTTTATTTGCTGGACACAAACGGTGGGAACAAAGACAGCAAGACACGAGCAGATTTCGCACAAGGCTCAATAGAAATTGGAACTAACCGGACACGGACAGATTGCACAATTCCAAGGTCGCAGCTTTGCGACTTGGAAGAAGTCACCGACCAGGAAGCCCTTTTTTTTTTTTCCTTTGTGTAACAAACGATGAGATACTCACACAAACTAAATCAAACACGACACAATTAACTCCCAGAAATTCCAGAAATTGAAGACGACAACAAGACAGAAACAAACAATGATGACCAGACTCGAAAACAAAGGAAACTCGCGGCCAGGAACTCGCGGCCAGAATGCAACGTGCACAAAAATTTTTTTTTTTTTTTGAGCTACCGAGATAGATACGAATTAAGGCACGAAAAGAGGGATAACGATGTTACCAACAAGCTAGCTCTGATGCCAGCTGATACGAATCTCGTTGGTGAGGAGATTCGCGACCCAAGATCGCTTGTTGGATTTGACGTCAGATGCAAGAGACGGTGGCAGCGGAAACCCTACGACCCCTCTAATCCCCGTGACTACGAACTTGTTGATATTATCTCAACCCGTAATCAAACGAATTAGCGAACCTCAGGCAAGTGTAGAAGGCGCCACAATTCAAGTGCGATTCTTGAATTGATAAGCCGAACAAGAACACTAGAGTATAACTCTAAGTTGTTCAAGGTTTGCTCGAAAGCTATGGAGAAAACTCTCTCAATATTTTTATCATAAAAGTGTCTCCTTTTAATGACGTAATGTGGTGCCTTATATAGGCTACAAGTGAAACCCTAATCTAGTAAGGAAAAGAAACTAACTAATGACTCTCCAATCACAATCACAATTAAGGCTAACTAATGGTCAGCTTATAAAGCTGGCTCAACATAACCCAATAAAAGCTAATTCACCAACTTAAGTAATAGTGAGTCTAGACTCTATAAATCGGATCCAACTCAACATGAGGTCTTGGACCGAACTTATTCCTACCAAATAAAATAGAAATCTGAAAAATAAACTACTAAACTATTACTAAAAGATTCATTCTCTTGCAGCCCGAAACATGGCCCATAAGCGGCCCATATTTCATATCAGGTCCTCTCGGCAAAGTGTTGTTCATAGTTGGTGCAAAGGTACTTGTGACATGACCAGCAATTGCTTTACTATTGTGGGGGTTTGTGCTTGATAGGCTTGTACCTTTATAGTTATACTGTGACATATAGAAGTATTTTCATAAAAATGGTTGAGTTTCATTTTTTGCTCCATGCACGTTTTCATATATTGACTTCAACATTTTGTTTCTCTTTTCATCTTCATCAATTCCATGAATTGTCATTGGTCGATAACATGGTTTCTTCTGTTTGAGTTTTATTATCTACAACATTGTGTTCCCAGTTTTTCTTCTCAGTTTTCATCAGTTCCATTAATCTTGTCACAGTTGATAACATGATTTCTTCTATTGAGTAGTGAGGATGCTCACCTCGGCTACCCTGCATGTCCGAGGTGAACCCATCTCGTCCTTCATCGGAGCTCATCCGTGTCTTGGGCATATCCCATAAGCTCGGCCGGATCCCTAGTCTACCGTGTAGGTGACCTCGGCACCTACACCTCAGCTGCACGCTGATGATGTCAAGCCACCTGACATCACTCGGGACCAGTGCTTTATCTGAAAAGCACTGTCGCACCTAATGACTACTGTATAAGACTCCTCGTCACCCTGCCCAGGCGGCTACAGCGTCAGAGTCAGACCGCCTGACAGAGAGCAGAGCCGTAATGGCAGGACATGGGTCCCACCGGCATAAGACCTCCGTCCTGCCCTCCACTCTCGCTCTATAAATACCCCTCATGTACTCCTAACAAGTAAGCATACTGTTCATTTGACAACACTACTGCTTTTCTCTCGTTCTTATACTAACTTGATCGTCGGAGTGATCCCAGGGGAGAAGCCCCGCCATTCACTTCGGACACACCGATACACCTCACTTCACCTTAGAAGAGGCTGATTCCGGTCGGTTCAACTACCCACCAAAAATCACCTCCTCAATTGGCGCCGTCTGTGGGAACGAGATTACTGCTAAAATGAGATCCACGCGCTCCAGAAGTGGAAGAGTCCCCTCGACTGGGGCTGGGCAAACATCGGGAGCCCAGCAAGATCGTATTTTCGAAGAACAAGGGTCCCCAAGGACCCAGCCCAATAACGAAGACGCCATCGCCAAGATGGCCGAGTTTGTGGCTGATAATCCGAACATCTTCGAAGAACTGGGGAGGTACTTCAAGAGGCAGGGGAAGGAAAAAGCTGAATCCTCCAAGAGGAGACCGACGAAGTCCCCTGAAGTGCCTTCCGGCGAAGACTCCGATGAGGGGCACATCTCTCGGAGCACTTCCAGACGCGCCTCTGCCAAGGCGACATCTAAAATCGCTTCCATTTCCCGGGCGTTTTCCCGGAGCCTTCTGGGAAAACGAGTTGAGGACCCACCTCGGCGTCCCGGAGGCTTAGCAGCCGAATATCTGAGGGCACCGCCCTTTACGGATGACATCAATGGGGAGATGGTCCCCCCAAACTTTAAACTTCCCGCCCTGCGTTCCTACGATGGTCGAGGTGACCCCGAGGATCACCTCCGCGCCTTCCTATCCGCTTTTCGGCTCTATTGCGTCCCCGACGCGGTAATTTGCCGAGCTTTCCCCATCTTCCTACAGGGCACGGCCCGAAAGTGGTTCTGGGGTTTAGAACCGAGGAGCATTTCCTCACTGGATGAGTTGATAGATCGGTTCATTCACCGCTTTGTATCATCTCGTCCGATTACGAAAACTTCAGCTTACCTCTTGAACCTGCAGCAAGCCCCCGGCGAGTCACTGCGCTCCTACGTGCAGAGGTTCAATGAGGAGAACGTGCAGATACCTGATCAGCATGAGCAGGTAACCATAGCTGCCTTCACCAATGGGTTGATCGCGGGAATCTTCAATACCGAGATACACCGGGATTACCCCCGCACACTTCGGGAACTTTGGGATCGAGTAGATCAGGGAATCCGAAGTGAAGATCTAAACCGTATGAAGCGAGAGGCTCAAGCCGCTCGTACCGGGCAAGATTCCCGGAGGAAAAAAGATGCCGGCCGAGTTGAACAAGGCACCAATGGCTCGTCGACTCAGTTCCGAGACTGCCGAAGTGTCTTCGATCGGATTGTGAAAGGCAGGTCGTCCACCTCGGACGCCGAGCTGACACCTCTCAATTCCAGCCGGACCCATGTCCTGGCTGTGATGAGGCAGAATCACCTCGGCCGAAACCCCCCTGAAATTCCAGGGAGGAGAGATAAGAGGAACTCGAACCTCTATTGTGCCTACCACCGGGATGTTGGGCACGAGACTGAAGACTGCAATGCTCTGAAGCGAGAGATCGAGAATTTGATCCGGCAAGGATACCTGAAACAATTCGTCCGCAAGGATGGGGGCTTCAACCGAAGCGTCTCCCACCGGGAGAACCGGGGCCCCCGCCGAGATGACAGGCGGGATACGAACATACATTGCCGGGGTCTCGAGGATCGAAGGGAGGACAAGCAGCCTCCATGAGACAGATCACCGGGCTATGACCCCAACATCGCCGGGGTGATAAACACGATCGCGGGAGGACCAACGGGAGGAGACAGCCAGAACTCCCGGAAGCGGATCTACCGCCAGGCCGGGATGGAGGTGGCTGAGCCGAGCTCTCGGTTGTCCGAGGTCATCACCTATGGTCCCACTGACCCGGTCCCCGCCGCCTCCAGCAACCACGAAACTCTCGTGATCGAGGTCCTCACCAACAACTACATAGTCAAAAAGGTCTATGTTGACCCCGGAAGCTCGGTAGACGTCTTGTACTACCGAACTTTCGAAAGTTTGAAACTGACTCGGGAACAGCTCACTCCTGTCAGAACTCCCATCGTGGGATTCGGGGGACACGTGGTCCACCCCGAGGGTATGGTGACCATCGGGCGTCATCCCCGCTGCAGGACTATACCCGTCAACTTCGCGGTGGTCAAGGCAGATTCTCCCTACAATATGTTGATAGGTCGACCCACGCTCAATGCCTTGAGGGTCGTGTACTCTACCTATCACCTGAGTTTCAAATTCCTGACACCAGCGGGGGTGGCCGAGGTGAGCAGCGACGTGAGCACTGCTCGCGAATGCTACCTCGCCACCATCCAGGCCGCAGTCACTCCCCGGACTGCATCAAAGGCCGGATAAAAGAGGACAGCGGTCCTCTCCATAGACTGCATCGACCCTCAGAAGGCAGGAAAGCCCGGCAGGCTGGAACCCGGGGATGATGTGGAGCAGGTGGTCCTGGATGAGGCAAGACCGGACCAAGTGGTCCAGGTAGGGGCCGGACTCCCCTCGCCTCTAAAGGAAGAAGTGATTTGCCTTATAAAGGACCACCGAGACGTTTTCGCGTGGTTCGCTGATGAGGTGGTTGGAGTACCACCTGAGCTCATGGTTCACCAGCTCAACGTCAACCCGCAGGCCCGTCCTGTGAAACAAAAGCGTAGGCACTTCGGTCCCGAACGCAGCAAGGCCATATCTGACGAGGTGGACAAGCTCTTGCCCGCCAAGATGATCCATGAGGTCCAGTACCCCACCTGGCTGTCCAACCCTGTTATGGTTAAAAAGGATACCGGTGGATGGAGGATGTGCGTCGACTTCACCGACCTTAACAAGGCCTGCCCCAAAGATTGCTACCCCCTGCCGAGGATTGACGCTCTCGTCGACTCGGCAATGGGACATGAGATCCTCTGCTTTCTAGATGCCTTCAAAGGCTACCACCAAATAGGAATGAGTGAGGAGGACCAAGAGAAGACAGCGTTCTACATCGACCATGGTGTCTACTGCTACACTACCATGCCGTTCGGGTTAAAAAACGCCGGGGCGACCTATCAAAGGTTGATCAACCGACTCTCCAAGAATCAGATCGGCCGCAATGTGGAGGCCTATGTGGATGACATCCTCGTCAAAAGTCTCACCACTTCATCCTTTCTGTCAGACGTGAGGGAAGTCTTTGGTGTCCTGCGAGACTCGAGGATGAAACTGAATCCGAAGAAGTGCGTCTTCGGCGTCACCTCGGGAAAATTCTTGGGGTATCTGGTTTCCCACCGGGAAATCGAGGCCAACCGCGACAAGGTCAAGGCCATTCAGGATATGTCCCCACCTCGGAACATCCGAGAAGTCCAACGGGTGAATGGACGCCTGGCCGCGCTGAATCGCTTCCTGTCCCAATCAGCTGAGAAAGCTCTGCCCTTCTTTAAGGTGCTCAAGAAGGCTGATCAGTTTGCCTGGACGGAAAAGTGCCAGGCTGCTTTCGACAAGTTGAAGCAATACCTCCATCACCTACCCACTCTCGCTTCACCTCGGCCCGAGGAGAAGCTCTACCTCTACCTCTCCGCAACCGACGAGGCTGTCAGCGCTGTTCTTATCCGGGATGAGAGCACCCAAGTGCCAGTCTACTACGTCAGCCGAGCTCTCCGCGGGCCGGAGACTCGATACACTCAGGTGAAAAAACTGGTGCTGGGGCTAGTTCACGCAACTCGGCGATTGAAGCCCTACTTCCTTGCTCATCCCATCTCCGTCAGGACCGACCAACCCATTCGGTAAATATTGGTGCGACCCGAGGCTTCCGGTCGCCTTACCAAGTGGGCTGTCGAGTTGGGAGAATATGACCTGTCATATGAGCCCCGCACCGCCATAAAAGCTCAAGCCCTAGCTGATTTCCTAGCCGAGCTGACCTTCACGGAAGGTCCAGAGTCCACCTCCGCCAGTGTCGAGGTGTCCACCCCTTCCCCGTGGACGCTGTACGTAGACGGGTCCTCTAATGGGGATGGCAGCGGAGCTGGACTGCTCCTGGAAGGATCTCAGGGAGAAGTGTGCTCTTACGCCCTCCGCTTTGGTTTCCCAGCCACCAATAATGAAGCCGAGTACGAGGCCTTAATTGCTGGACTCCAGTTGGCACGCAGGCTCGGCGCCCAGCAAATCCACGTCCGCAGTGACTCCCAACTCGTTGTACGCCAAGTTCTTGGTGAATACGAGGCCAAGGATGAGACCATGCAACGGTACCTCTCCAAAGTTCACCAACTCACCGCGTACTTCGAGTCTTTCGAAATCCAAAGAATACCCCGGTCCCAGAATAAGCAAGCCGACGCCTTATCCCGGCTGGCTTCCATATCATTCTCTGACCTCAACAAAACAGTCTTAGTGGAAGTCCTGAGTGAACCAGGATACGTGGAAGAGGTGACCTGCCCCGTGCACTCTGAAGAAACTTGGATGACCCCGTTCATCCTTTTCTTGGGTCAAGGAGCCCTCCCCGAAGACCGAGCCGAGGCGAGAAAAATATAACGCAAGGCGGCTCGGTACGCTCTCCGCGATGGAGAGCTGTACAAACGCTCCTACCTCGGCCCATGGCTGAGGTGTGTCACTCCCGAGACAGGACGCCACGTCCTCCACGAGATCCACGAAGGCTTGTGTGGAGCTCACGTCGGCCATAGAATGCTAGCCAAGAAGGCTTTGCTTCTTGGATATTTCTGGCCCTCAGTTCGGCAAGACGCCCAGGACCTCGTTCTCGGCTGCCCTTCCTGCCAAGTCCACGCACCCGAGCATCACCAGCCGCAAATTTCATGGTTCCCATCATTTCACCTTGGCCGTTTGAGCAATGGGGGACAGACATCATAGGTCCTTTCCCCAGAGCCGTCGGGGGTTATACCTTCCTGGTAACCGCTGTGGATTACTTCACCAAGTGGGTTGAGGCCGAGCCTCTGAGGACCATCATCGGGCTGGCAATTCAAAAATTCTTTTGGAAATGCATCGTCTGCCGCTTCGGCATACCTCAGGTCATCATCTCGGATAATAGAAGGCAATTTGCCGAGAACCCCTTTAAAACTTGGTGCACAAACCTTGGCATCAAACAACATTTCACTTCGGTAGGCCACCCCCAGGCCAACGGTCAAGCAAAAAACTTCAACCGAACTCTCTTGCATGGCCTCAAGACCCGACTACACCGAGTTGGAACATCTTGGGTCGAAAAACTCCCCAGTGTCCTGTGGTCTTATCGGACCACGCCGAGGTCAGCCACGCAAGAGACCCCCTTCTCTTTGACCTACGGAGCCGAGGCTGTCATCCCTGCCGAGATCCTTACCCCCAACCCTCGGCTGGCAGCCTATGCCGCCGAGGTGAACAACGAAGAGAGACAGCTAGATCTCGACCTCGTCGATGAACGAAGGACCTCGCCTCAGCCCGGATAGCTTCCTACAAGAACATACTGGCACACTATTACAATGCCCCCGTCAGACACCGTAGATTCCAGCCTGGAGACTTGGTTCTTAGAAAAAACTCAGTCAGCCGAGCTGAACCACAAGGGAAATTATGCCCGAAATGGGAAGGCCCTTACCGAGTTGTGGAGTCTGACCTTAAGGGATATTGTAAACTGAGTTATCGAGATGGCTCTCTAGTGCCGAGGACTTGGCACGCCGAGAACCTCAGGCTGTATTATGCTTGAAAATTTTACTAAGTTATCACTTCAGCTGCTTTGTTATTTTTCAATATGATTGTGCCACACATCTGTTATTAAAAAGTAAGGGGGACAAACAGGGGACGAAACAAGCATGAAATTAAAAGAGCCGAACTGAGAAGAAAATATTTCATTTAACAAAGAAGAGGCATTACAAAAAGAAGAAAAGGACCGAGGTCAGGAGTACTGCTAAGCATCTCCCACCTCGGTTTTACATTTAGATCCCTATGATCTAGGCTTCCACTTCGGCTCCCCCTTGGCCAGTTGCCTCCGTGGCTTTTCCCCCGCCGGGGTGAGTATCTTCTCCATCTCCTCCTTGCTCTCCGGCAGCCTTCTCGCCGACGTCACCCCCAGTGTCCTCTCCTCCTTCCTCCTCGAACACTTCGTCGAGTTCGGACAGCCACTTGTTGAACTCGTCCTGGACCTCGGCCAAGTTTCTTCCAGCCTGAATGCCATCGGCCATCCGATCGCACAGTTCCTTGGAGTCTTCGTTATAATTGGCACTATTCTTCAAAGACTCCAAGGCTTCGGAGGAGAGGTGAGCCGCGACCTCATCAATAGCCGATGTGAAGCCAAGCATGAAGGTCGGCCTCGTCAGTTGGTCGAGATCCCCAAGGAAGGTCTCGGACCTCCGGAAATCCTTAACAGCCGAGGTCCTTGCACTCTCGAGGGCCTGCTCATGTGTCTTCTTCGCCTCCTCTGACCTCTTCTGCTCTTCCTCCAGAGCCGACCTCAGACTATTGAAAGTGGCCTCGGCCTCCTCCTCCTTAGTCTCGGCCTCTTGAAGCCGTCTCTGAAGCTCGGACTTCTCGGACTCAGACACTACCTGCTTTTTCTTCAGCTTGGCAATCTGATCTTGCAGTTTGCCGGTGTCTTGCTCCTCAAGCAACTCACAGTACCGATGTGCCATCTCGGCCACAAAGGCTGTGTTGGAGGCCGTGGTCACCATGATGCTTTGGAGCATCTCGGCCGGAGCCAGTTTCCTTGTGAAATCCAAGTCTCTCGGCAAGGTGGACTGCATCACCAGGTCTTGTGCAACCCGAGGCTGGCTGCATCGGTCGTTGACTTTGAGCGACCAGTCCGGACACCAATGCTAGCCGGGGTGAGATTTATCTTTCCCCGAAAACACCGGGGGGCTTTGGTAACGGTTCCATGGTGAGGACGCCGTCACCGCATTGACCGGAGAATTCAACTGCTTGCCTCGGCCATGTGGAGGTGGACGTGCCGTGGTCACCCCTAATGGCACCCCTTCTGGCACCGAAGAGGTGGACCCTGTGGCCACAGCAGCCGAGCTGCTCTGGGCTGCCGTGGTGGGGGTGGTCTTCTCTACCGAGGTCTTGGAAGACTGCCCTTGGGACTTCCTTTTGGGCGGAGGCGCCGAAGTCTCCCCCGAGTTCTTTCTCTTCGACCTCTTGGCCACCTCGGCCGAGCTCGATGTAATAATGTCGGACAGTTTAGTCACTGCACAAGAAACAAATATTATCATATGCCTTAGCCGAAATGAAAGCAAAGCTATGAAAGAAAATTACAAGGTATCTTAAGTTTAGTGGAAGTGAAGGGAGTCCTGTCAGGAGGGATCAAAGCTCGGCTGATTCCCACATCGACCAGCACGGCCTCGGGCTGATCCCAACTAAAGATCCGAAGTCCGGACCCCATCAATTTCTGGAAGGACTCCTCCTCATGATCCCCCGCGGAAGGGTCGGCCTTCGATTTGATGGGCCTCCACCAAAAACCCCGTGGAAAGTCCACGGCCGAGACGAATATGAAGTCACGCTTCCAGTTCTTTATTGAAGAGGGGGCGCCGATGACTAGCTTCGAGATGGTTTTGTTCCGGTTGCAGACATAGAACCATTCCTTATCTGTCCCATGTGCCTTGAAGGTGTAACATCGGCGGAAGAGGTCCATGGTCGGGGTCACTTCTTGATGTCGGCACAGCATCTCGAAACCTACGAGAATGCGGACCGCGTTTGGGACGAGCTGGGTGATTCTTACGCCGAAGTGACGGAGCACGTCCCAGAAGAACCTTGACGTCGGCATCCTCATCCCGGCCTCCAACTGCTGAAGGTAGATGGCCACAGTGCCCATGGGGGGCTTCTCGGCCGAATCGTTCGGCCCGGGCGAGGTGATGAGATACCCCGGCCTGAAGGGATACTTCCTTATCACCTTCCAGGCCCTGTCTCTTCCCATGCGGCTCCTAAACTGCGGCATCTTGCCGAAGTCCAGGTTGGCAGCATCTCTTGGAGCGACGGGCTCCAGCACCCCCTCGTCGTGGGGTATTGCAGTTCCGAGGTCGGTGTCGTATTCGACATCGGAACCACCCTCGCTCATCTCTGATGACTCTGACCCCGATGCTGTCCCAGCCACTTCTTCCTCGGCCGATTCCCCCACATCGGTAGGTGCCGACCCCGTGGAGCTGGATGAAATCGCCTCTTCCGAAGTGTCCGGCACCTCCTCGGCCTGGTAGCTCCGTTTCACAGTTTCCTTGTGGGTTTTAGCCGTTTTGGCCATGAGTGAATGATGAGATGAAAAGAAAGATACTTACTGTTGACTACGGAATCTGACGAAGTGGATGACTTCGGTTGATATCTCGGCTGGCAGGACTGATCTCGGCAACGCTCAAGAATTTTACAAATCTGAGGCTAAGAAAGAAAGTGATGGGCCATATGGTGAAAAGGACCCCCTATTTATAAGGGTTTGGGGGGAATCCGAAGAGGCGGCAAGAATGCGAAAAGACGGCCACGTTCGAATTCAAAACGCCGTGCCTCTCTCTCTCCTCATTAATGCCCCGTCCTTTCGACTGATACCCTCTGCACGAAACGTCCCACTACTTCACGACGCGACGGTTACCAGTGACCACGTCCTGTCAACTGACTCGCCCACGTGTCTCGTCCCCGCATCTTCCGGAGCAGTTTCGGGACCCCGACTCTTTACGATTTCGGCACAAGGAAGCCTCGGTACCTCCCTAACCCGGAGCTCCCGAGGCTTGGGGGGCTTATTGAGGATGCTCACCTCGGCCACCCCGCATGTCCGAGGTGAACCCATCTCGTCCCTCATCGGAGATCATCCGTGTCTTGGGCATATCCCATAAGCTCGGCCGGATCCCTAGTCTACCGTGTAGGTGACCTCGGCACCTACACCTCAGCTGCACGCTGATGATGTCAAGTCACCTGACATCACTCGGGACCAGTGCTTTATCTGAAAAGCACTGTCGCACCTAATGACTACTGCATAAGACTCCTCGTCACCCTGCCCAGGCGGCTACAGCGTCAGAGTCAGACCGCCTGACAGAGAGCAGAGCCGTAATGGCAGGACATGGGTCCCACCGGCATAAGACCTCTGTCCTGCCCTCCACTCTCGCTCTATAAATACCCCTCATGTACTCCTAACAAGTAAGCATACTGTTCATTTGACAATACTACTGCTTTTCTCTCGTTCTCATACTAACTTGATCGTCGGAGTGATCCCAGGGGAGAAGCCCCGCCATTCACTTCGGACACACCGATACACCTCACTTCACCTTAGAAGAGGCTGATTCCGGTCGGTTCAACTACCCACCAAAAATCACCTCCTCAAGTAGTATATGCTATCTGATTGCAGTAAATTCTCTTAGGACGGTTGACCACACAAAAGATTCCTGACCAGGCTCCCCAATAAAATGTTTAATCGATCCATTGCAGATCGACAGAATTGGTGCAGAAGTTGTAAAACTTTCAACTGCACATTCCAAGGTTGGTGCACTAAATCAAATAAACAAGTGGAAAACAAACATGCATAATTGACTATCCATAATAGTGAAAAAAATGCAGGTTTCATTTAAGAGTGGAGATATTTG